TTATTTTCACGGATGCATTCAAAAATACTACCGGTAGTTATCTGAATCAATGATATGACAATCTAGCTGAAATTGAGAGCTTGGGACGTAATTAAGCTATGGTCAAAGCATCTCTTCCCTCTTTTGGCATCAAATAACAACTTGGTGTTGGTTCAGTGATTATGTTGTCCATAATTGGGAGAAAAACATGGAGGCAAATTTTTGTTTATGTATATGTTGTTGTCATAAATATTTTATTATCATTAAGTAATACCTACAACAAATGTATCCATGAGCCACTATTGACAATGTGGCAGGAATATGAGATGGCTGCCCATCTTGAAAACAGTAACAATTTGGATCGATTTCAGACATGACTACAATGACACTCCAGAATTGCTGCCAGTTTTGGAGCAGGCGTTGAGAGCTGGCGAAGGGATAGAGTTGTTTACTAACTTGGCTCGCTTTTTGATGCCGGTAAAAATTAATTCTTTACCGCCTTAACCAAAATACTTTTCACTTATTTCCAATTCATTTCTCGTGTTATTAGAGCATTTTGTCGTTATAAGTTTTTAACCCGTAAATCAAATCATTTAATTCGTACAGTACATGTAATTTGAGTATCGTACTGAAAAAAAGTTTCAGAAAGGTATGGCATACTGTAAACAATTTTTTTGTATTCCAATTTAATATGATTTCTTTTAAGATGAAGAAGATAATGGCCCTCGTGGACAGACTGTATAGTTTGATAAGACAGGAAGTCGACCGACACCGCCAGTCCTTTGATCCAACTGACATCCGGGACTTCATTGACCTCTTCATAAAGGTCACCCAAGAAGAGCAAGATCCTGAGATCTACGCGGGTACAGTATGATGCTGTTAAAGGAATTGTTCCCGTGAAGATCTTAAGCGTTTTGGTGATATAATATAACACTTACCTGTTAATTATTACTTTAAGGGATAATAACTCTTCGTATGGATCTATATTTAACAATCAAAACATTGTGAACAAGTCATAGAAATATAATATATTCTGTTGTACTACAAAAACTGCAGTAATAACTATAATCCTGATATCTGAGTTTGTCTTTAGAGCACATGACCTCCATTGATGGCTATACTCTGTTATAAAACAAATTTTTTAGAAAAAAAACAAGAACTAACTTTGAATGTAAAAATGGATTCATTAACCATTGGTAAGTATGGAAAAATTGTTGTTTACTCCAGGAAAATTCATTATTTGGCTAAAACGAAGAGTTATTATCCCTTTAAGCCAAGAATGTTATGTTTTCGCGTCCGTTTGTTTGTTTGTTGGTTCTTCATCAGCCTAGGTCAAAAAAGTTATGGATGGATTCTGATGGCATTTTTTAGGATTGGTCACAGTGGTCTAACTTAAAACCGATTAAAATTTTGTGGTGATCCATTCATTAATTGATGGTTAATTATTAGGTAATTGTTTGTCTTGGTGGAGGTCAGTGCTCTCTGGGTACTTTTTTAAATTAGACTACATGTCTTTGAAACGTTTGGCCTGCAAGGTACTTCAGTACGTAGCATGTGGTTTACCGAGGTGGTAGCACAATGGGTATGTTACTGTTCAATCGTTTTAACAGTTCACTTGCAATAGACAAGTATGATGCTGTTAAAGGAATTGTTCCCGTGAAGATCTTAAGCGTTTTGGTGATATAATATAACACTTACCGGTTAATTATTACTTTAAGGGATAATAACTCTTCGTATGGATCTATTGTAAATTTCAGAATGGAACGTATTCCGCATCATCGTAGATTTATATTTGGCTGGAACTGACACAACCGCAAATACTTTGAGATGGTCCCTCATACATATGGTTAATCAACTGGACGTTCAGAAGAGGGTGCAGCAGGAAATTGATCAAGTAACGACGTAATAAAGAGCACGATCGAGAGAGAGAGAGAGAGAGAGAGAGAGAGAACTAGCAGAGAGATGATTTTAA